ACGGAAATAGCACTCAATTAGACGTTTATAATTGTAACCAATTTGACGAAACAATGTCAGGTTATTCAGTGAAAATAATTTACGAATCACTTTTGACATAAAGGCCACTCCGGACAATCCAAATCTTTTATTTTGAATATCTTCATGATGACCATGGTCAAATATATTTGCAACATGGTGGTCAACAGCAGCTTGATCTACTGAATGGGGCACAAGTAGCACTTTTAAACCTGGAATTCGAAGCATGTGCTTAAAGTCTACATTTATTCTAATATTGAATTCATTATAATCTTGATATATTTCAGATACTTGATAAAATAAAAAGTAGAAACAAAGTGCGAGCGGAACGTATTTTGCTAGTTTAGCATGTTTAAATTTTAATATTTTAAACTTTCTCTTAATGTTTCTAAACTTTCTAAAAGTTAGTAATTTTATAATATTGAGTATGGACATGATAACTGAATAGACACTGAATCCCAGCCACATTCCCATTAGTCCACCGATTGCCGATAAATAGGCTATAAAATCACATTTAGGCGTAATTTTCCAGATATAGGGTATTAATATGGTGTAAAGTAGAACGATAAATTTTCGATCGTGTGAGTCTATGATTGGTGAATTTTTAATGATAACATTTTGGGTCACAAAATAGTGATTGCACTCAATTCGACACGTTTTGGACAGTTGTGTATAGTCGGGCGACACAAAGCACGTGACATTCACTGTGCTATTATTCACTACGAATTGGCTTTCGTTACGAAACACTCGTGAATCCCAATAGAGATTATGTCGACAACGGCTTACCTCTACCGCACGCATCACTCGTAACATACATTCGCTCCGGGATTTCGGTCCGACACCACCCGACCCGCGATTAGCCTCGTAGTCGTAACAGTCGGTGGGATAGGGTCGCGGTAACAGTGTCTGCAAGTTTGGCATTATATTAAAATTGCCATCAACATTGTGTCCAAACAACTGGGACATTTGTACAAAATGAGACATTGTATACAACGGATGGACAGCCACTTCAACGTGAGGCAAGTCCTGCAGGAATAGGTTGGACATCCCAAACGGATATGTCGTAAACTCCTTACGAGTCGTGTAGTCATTCATATACGTGAGACATAAGCTCCCGTCCCGTCGATGACGTATATATACCGGCGATAATTGCGAGCAAAGTGTTATGGGGTGTGTCTGTTTAAATATGCCACACTTGACCCTGCGCATAATTGAGCGCCAGTAGTCCAGATCGGTTTGATTTATATCCGCGAGTCCTATGTGTCGCGGGTTTAGGCATAGGGTTAGCGACGAGTTGTAGACTAATAGCTGGGAATTGCGATCGTATTTGAAATCATTGATCACATCGTAGTGTAAATAATTGACAGTTTGCTCGACGATTTGGTACACAAATACTAATATGAGTATAAGTTTAACATGTTGCTTGGTGAATTTAATTTTAGCTAGTTTACAATATAAAACAATTAAGTTTAAGTGCAAATATTTGGCAAAATGTAAAATATATTTCACCATTTTTGCAGTTTTATATTATATTAATTTTGTGATCATAATTTATAACTAGAAATGTTTTATGAGAGATATTGTACGTATGAACAACAAAATAGACAATTATATAAATAAATTACCCGGTCTATATCTCTGAACAAATACAATAGTAGCTATGAATTATAAACTATTGTAAACTATTATAAATATTGGGAACTTGGTAAATAATATGCGACTTCAGTCTAAACACTGTACAATACAGTCTGTATTTGGATTGAGAGATATGTCACGTCGCGTCTCAGTCATAGATAATAATGTTATAATCAATAAGACATTCATTAATTTAACAATAGCAACTTATTGTATCAGATACCTTTTATTATCATTATTACGAAATAAATATATTTATTACCTTTTATAAAAATTTTTATTCAATATTTTACTAATAATAATGAAAGGTAACTGAGACGACAAGTAGCCTTTGTAACACACAACACATTTAGATCATTATGTTAAATAATAAGTCCGATATTTTGATATAATTAAAATAGGTCAATCATTAATTAGATATGTCAATGTTATATAATTACTGTGAACTTTTAAAATGTTTCTGTAACTTATATTTTAATATTTTAATTGTTCTATATTTCAATTTTTAATATTATGTTGTGATTATTATTTAATATTGCATTCATGTTAAATTTGTAAATGTTTAGCTTTAAAATATAATTACAAATGATAATTTATCACTGATGTTAAGCAATATAGTATTGGAATTGATAATCTAATACCAAGGTGTTATAGTAGATGAGTATTTTCGTTTTACAATCATGATCAATAGAGTAATTTTCTAAAAATTAAACAATTAACTAAACAATAAATTAATTAACATAATTACTCTTAAGCTTCAGCGGTAACAAATATCCCTGACACAAATCCTGTTTTCTATAAAAAAATTAATAACATTTAATTTGAAAATAAAGGAGGATGCATACCCCTTAACAAACATATTTGTCGTATATTCGGTTTTTTATTATAACTGATATTATTAACAATTCTTTTAGAACTTTGGACGAGGAGTCTGAATATGTAATTTATATTGTCCTGTGACCTCGGGTTCGGTTGCAGTGACCACTTATATCGGGAAAATTTTCATAATAAATTATACCCATGTGATATATCAATTCAATCACTGCGGCCGAACCCGAGGTCACAGGACAATATAAATTACATAGTCGGACTCCTCGTTGAATAAACCTTCATATCCAATCAAAAAATCCCGATTGCCAGCTTAGGCAGAATTGGACGATCTCCTTATTTTTCTGACCAATTCGAACATGAGGATTTAAAATAAATTATTATTTATTTAATAAAATTAAAAAATAACGCTAAATTTTACAAAGAACACGTTCGAATTTGACCTAAGCTGAAACCCGGGAAATAATTATTAATTCTTATAAAACTTTGGACGAGGAGTCCGAATATCTAATTTATATTATCCTGTGACCTCGAGTTCGGGCGCAGTGGCCACTTATACCGGTAAAATGTTCATAATTAATTGCCCATGTGATATATCAATTCAATAGAGATTTTTATACAGAATACGATGGTATATGTGAAAATTCAATCAACCTAAATAATCATGTAAATAATGTAGAATTAGTGACAAAAACTATGAAAAATCACAATATTTTATTTAAATCTTGAGTTTTCTATATTATTATTTACACCCTCATATTCAGAGTAAAATTCTCTACCAAATCATTAAACCACATGTCCATATTTACGACGGAAATATTTTCCAATAAAATTGGACATTATGACTAATCCCATTAAAATAAAAACTAGATTCTCAACTGGCAACCAGGAATTTGTTTAATTTTTACTGAACATCCTACCAGAATTAAAACTATGACGACGAGGAGTCCGAATATGTAATTTATATTGTCCTGTGACCTCGGTTCGTGCGCAGTGACCACTTATATCGGGAAAATTTTCATAATGAATATGCCCATGTGATATATCAATTCAATAGAGATTCGTATACAGAATATGATTATATATGTGAAAATTCAATCAACCTAAGTAATCATGTAAATAATGTAGAATTAGTGACAAAAACTGTAAAAATCACAATATTTCATTTAAATCTTGAGTTTTCTATATAATTATTTATATCTTGATATTCAGATTAAAATTCTCTACCAAATCGCTAAACCACATGTCCATATTTACAACGGAAATATTATCCAATAAAATGGGACATTATGACTATACCCATTAAAATAAAAACTAGATTTCCAACTGGCAACCAGGAATTTGTTTAATTTTTACTGAACATCCTACAAGAAATATAACTATGTAATTTCTATTGCATAGTGGCCAGCTACAGTGGCCACTTTTATCGGGAAATATTTCCCTTATAAATATTGATATGTGATATATCAATCTGGTAGAAAATTTCACCCTGAATATGACGGTGTAAATAATAATATAGAAAACCCAAGATTTAAATGAAATATTGTGATTTTTCATAATTTTAGTCACAAATTCTACATTAATGTGATATATCAATTTGGTAGAGAATTTCACTCTGAATATGACGGTGTAAATAATAATATATAAAACCCAAGATTTAAATGAAATATTGTGATTTTTCATAATTTTAGTCACAAATTCTACATTATTTGCATGATTACGCAGGTTAATAAAATATTTGCATATAGAATCGCATTCTCCGTTAAAATCTCTATTGAATTGACATATTACATGGGCATAATTAATTATGAAAATTTTACCGATATAAGTGGTCACTGCAACCGAACCCGAGGTCACAGGACAATATAAATTACATATTCAGACTCCTCGTCCAAAGTTCTATAAGGATTGTTAATAATATCAGTTATAATAAAAACCGACTATACGACAAATATGTTGGTTAAGGGATATGCATCCTCCTTTGTTTAAACTTAAGTCACATAGTATTTACCAAGTTAACAATGTATAAGTGATTAATAATTAGTCTATAAATTATAGTCTGGTATTGTATTTGTATTATTACCACTTTTGACAGAGGTCATTCATAATATGATAGTCAAATGGTATTTAATAAAAGAATTATTTGTTTGTTAACTACTCCAATTTTTTTTCATGAACATATCCGTTTTTATAAAAAATATTTTATAGTTTATATTTGTGTAATATTTATAATCATTTAGTTCACCATGAATAGTTTTAACCTTATAAATACAAAATGGAAAGACCGCTCGCGCCATCCCCAAATAATTAACTTCAGAATATTGTCATATAATTTATATGTGATATAATATATTTATACAGTTTTTTAAAATAGTTATATTTTTATTACACTTATGAGTCATAAGTTATGACAATATGATACTGAAATTCATTAGTTTGTTCTAATTACGACTAAATACCATACAATGAATTTTATATTACTTAATTGTTTTAATACAAACATGTATAATTAAATAAAATTAATTTCTGTAAATTAATACAAATAAATAAATTCTAAAAATAATTAAATTTCATTAATTTACTTGAAAATCATCATTAAATATATTATAGTAATTAACAAATTTAGGTAATGCATAATTATATTCAAATAATATCATTTCAAACATACTGGTGGTGTGGGCAGCGACTAATATGACCCCGGTTCACATGCTTACGGAAACACTCGTCAAACCTATTGCAGTGGTCGGCGCTCAACGAGTTCATCGACGCCTGAAACTCACGGAAACAGTCCTTATGTCCGGTGTTTCTATTGTTACGGTAGTGTTGTCGGTGACCCTCNTGGTGATCCGGGTACTGCCTAAGGGCGCACTCGTTATACCCGTCCAAATCACCTTTTATGAACTCGCAGTCGCCTTTAAATATATATTAAAATTTATAACTACTGTAATATACTTTAAAATCTTATTTGTATTTATTATATAATTATTAGTATGTATTTTGGGTAGTATTATATTTTAAATTACAGTTTGGCTATTAGTTATTCATTAGATTTACTTTAAGTTTAAATGATTTATAATCTAAACTATAATTAAATTTTTAATAATGTTTAGCAATTATTTGTTTACTATCCGAATAATGAAATAAAATTTAAAAATACTTCAAAATGTAATTTTAATTAATTGTTACTATGTTTTAATTATTTTAATTATTAAAATGCATGCGTTAATTAAAAATAAAATACTTGAATTAATATTAGTAAGTGATCGGTAATTAAATAATATAATAATTTATCTAGCATACTTTTTACTTTATAAATGAATAATACTTACTGGAAAACATGATCATGATCCATTGGCGTTCATCCTGGCTGTATTTATTCCAGTGCTCGTTCCAATGGTTACAGGTGACCATGGTCACACAAATAGCCATAATATACGCTATCAGGATAATTTTGGACATCATATATATGATAATTACTTTAATTTTATGAATACTAAATAAGATGTTATTTTAAATTTTATTTTACGTATGTCAATGTTTTTATACAATAAATTGCTAATTGCTTTCAACATAATTATATATAATTGTGCCACCCACTACTATTACTATCAATAATTTAGTGATAATTATGATATAATTATTATTGTACCTGACTCATACTTCAATGAATTATAGTAATATTTTTAGTAATCAAATAATTATATAATTAGAAAGGTGAATCTACGGAAATTAATAGACTCTATACACGCGAAATGGATTGTTATTTCAATCAACCTTGGTTAACTAAAATTAGGTTTAAATACAGTCATTGTTAAAATAATAGGATATAAAAATACAAATTACAATAATAATGCACAAAAATGTGTGTAAATATAATAATTGTTTTGAAAGTATAATTAATTTAGATAATACGTAAAGTCAATAAATTGTATTAATATTTAATTCGTAGAATTTTTTATTTTTATTAAAGAATAGGTATTGCATTACATAAATTAAAACTAAAATTAAAAATAAGTTACCACCAGGTACTCATACATATATTTACTGTTAAATAAAATTTCTTTACTTAGCAGTCATTATTAAATTAATAAAAACAAACTCTTAAATAAATCTTTTATTTGTTTATGAACATACACCATTTTTGTTATAATTATTATTAGTTTAATTAATATTATTTTTTAGGTTTTCTACTAATCATTACAAATAATTAAACCTATACTGGATCACAAAATTATAACGTAATAATAATTATTTTATTTATTGAAAACTTTAATAATTAGTAGTTTTGTGTAATTTACTTATTGTTAAAATAGTTACGATAAGTTTCCAATCGATGTCCATTTATTTCTCTAAACATTATATTTATTGAAAGTAACTTTTGATTATTGTGTAATTATTAATTTCCAAGTTGTCTACTAATCATGAAAACAGTAAAACTTATATTGGTGGAATCAGTTTAGATAAATTTTTCAGTTGCCACTAATATAAGTTTTACTTCTAGTTTTACTAATTACATGATTAGTAGAAAACTTGGAAATTAATAATTAACTGAAAAATTTATCTAAACTGATATACCTGGCCACACATTTGTATACTGGACTTCCATAGTGTCGTTTCCTATACTCATACACTGACTATTCATAGTGTAATTGTAGTAATCGAAGTCCAGTATAAGTATAGGAAAACACACTAAGAAATACCAGTATACATTTAATAAACATTTTACTCACTTATAGCTAATTTCTAAATAAACTCTAAAAATACTTCAAAAAGTCAAAACCATTAATTCATAGCCCCTGTTATAATGAGATACCTAACCCTCGTGACATACCTGTCTCTCATTGATAGCATAATATTTATGATTTTGTAAATGAAACAAAACACAAAATTCTACTATATTTATATCATTTTTAACGTAAAATTTAATACATTTATTAAGAGCAAGTTTATTTTTGGGATAATATTAATATTAAAGTAGTAATTAAAGTATAATTAGAAGTAATATAAGTATTATAATATTAAAGCAAAACAATAATTACACAATAATAACCGTTTGTTTTGAGTAATAGTTAAAAGCATTGTTATTGTGTAATACAAATACAATACAATATTATGTAAGGAATTCCTACAAAATATACGAGAAAAATAAATTTAACTTTTTTGTGATAACTTAGTGCCCATTAATTGTTAGCATTAGACATGTTGTGAATCCATTTACGGCACAAAACTCTAATCCATATTAAATGCCATGAATTCAGTGCCTGAAGGCACCCTTCGCTGAGGCCTTAATCATGAAATCCTTGTATATAATGGCATCCATTTCCTGACAGGCCTTGGTTTGTATGACTTGAGTCATATGTGCCAAAGCATAGCTAAAACACAGTTCCTCGAGCTCCGGGACCTCATACTTAAGTGCAGCCGTATATACACGTAAAACATTGTCGACTGTAATGCCGTTCCGTATAAGTCGGACGCACCTAAGCTTGAGGTCAGTCTCGCTGTAAGTTTCAGCCAAATCTAGTAACTCAATGCCAACATCCGGTGCCACACATACCTCACCCGTGTATAGGTATCTCAGGAACTCCTTATACATGTCATACGAGTATTGAGTCAACTATTGAGAGATAATTAGATTTTATTTTCAGTCAATTCTATAATATATGACTTGAAAGCAATTATTAATAAATTTATATAAAGATTATTTACTCGTTGAATAAATTCTTGGATATATTCATTGATTTCAAATCATATTAATTGGTATTTATTGGATATACTGACCTCCAGTTCCTTTTTCTTTCCTTGAGTCCAATTGGCAAACAATGACCGGAAGTGTTGGCATCGGATGCGAAGTATGTCTTTGTGGACGTGAATAGTCTTCCCCTCGACTATGATCTTGAAGTTACTGGTGTTTGGGTCGTCGAAAGCCTGACGTATTTGAGTGACCAATAGATTGTCGGACACATCACTCAATACAACCATTTTGGACGAAACAGTAGGCTTCGAGAAGATGGCGAATATGTCGTGCAATGAATCATAACTCGTCTCTAATTATAAAAATTTTGATTAAGATTTCATACAATTATTCATTCATTCAAATGATTACTCATTGGCTTTAATATATTGCTGTTTGGGGGCTGACAGTCACCCCATACATAGCTCACACCATCCACTGTAATAGCGGCCGATATATTGGTCCTCATATTCGCCGCTATGTCCCGAAATGGGCCCAAACTATTGTCTAACTGAATAGGCGTTGATTGATTAGTGGTGTTACCGGTGCCCAACTGTCCCCTATCGCACTGTCCAAACATATAGATTATGCCATCTTTAGATAAAAGCATTGTGTGATGAAAACCGCAAACCACACGACAAATGGGTTTGTTATCTAAATGTGTGATCAACACTGGAGTGGTTTGGTGTGTTTGGTTTCCTAAACCCAACTGTCCCTGACCATTATAGCCCCTATATGCACAGCAATATATATCACAATTGAACCATGCTATTTTAGATTGTTAACAATACATACCATGAATATACAGCTCCCGTGTCCGACACCGCCATTGAATGGCCACCGCAAGCGATGGACACAACGCGACACGACTCGAGAGCGCCCTTCACTCGGATGGGAACGGATTGGTTAATAAAGGTGCCATTGCCTACCTGTCCACCAGCATTAAAACCCCAGCCATAGACATGTCCCGCGTCTGTGAGGGCCAGTGTGTGGCAAATACCGCACGATATGTCCACCACTTTCTCATTCAATGATAGCTTTAAGGGTTCAGCGGAACTGGTGTTCAACCCGTTCCCCAACTTTCAAATAAATGAGATTTAATTCTTACAAAAATACAGTTCAGTATATAATATGTAATTTGTATGCATTTGAGTGATATAAAGGAATAGAGAAAGATAATACAACTGAACCTGGTTATATCGATTATCACCCCACGCATAGACGTGTCCATTGGTGGTGAGGGCGCACTGGTGTTCATGGCCTGCACTGACTTGAATGACCCCCTTATGGCTGAGTGTCTCTAATTGAGTGACACAACCAGTGCTCACTTTAACGCTGAAGACCTCATCCTCTTTAGTGACAATCACTGCTTCTGTCCCTGAATCCATGCAAAACACGGAAAACATACGAATATTAGCTTTGAATTGGCTGTCGATGAGACTCAATGCCATCCATTTGTCGATTGACTCCCTTTTGACACAATTGTCTTCAGACCCGAGGTTTGTGTGAATGGTATGACTCACTGAACCATTGGATGCCATTTCGCACACAAATCGCAAAATATTTATATTAAAATTAAATATTAATATTTGGATTGTTTTTATTCAAACTGCAAATTATAACATCAAATGTTGTGTTCAAAGTATGCGAGAGTATTGTGTTAATAATTAATAATTTATATTGTTGCATACTTTATTATATTGACGTGGCATTGTGTTAATTTGTCAATAACTATGATATTATCATATAATTTAATGTGTTATTATCTCTTATACAGTATAATATATTATATTATAAATATCACATTATGATATACTGTATGGGAGTAAATGTGTCACCACATAATCATCAATTATGCTTTAATGTATCAATTATGCATCAATTATTATTAATGATTAAGTAATACAATTTCAAAAGGTATTACACAAATCAATAAATGACAAAATGGAAAGTATTTCGATTTTTAAAAGAATGGTTATTTAAGCTAGGTCACGCGAAAATAATTTTGGCACAACTTTAATAAAATTTTTGTTATAAGTAGGAATGAAAAAAAGTGGGTATCCATTAAATGAATGGCCCCTCAACTATTACAAATTAGTAGTAATTTTCAAAAATAATAACTTTTGTCTGAATATTTATTAATGCATTGAAAATTCATTTTAATTCCATATACTCATACTTGATTCATTTAACTTGATAGGCTTTCTGTAAGGATAAAAACCTCTGAATAATAAACTTAAATATTTTATCTAAAAACTACAGTATGTGTCATATTATTTACTAAACTTGTACTAATTTTGAATCATTAATAATGAATATTTTTATAAAATAAAATAAATTCAATTCACTTGATGAGATTTTTACAAACAAAAATTATTGCTAATAAATTACTTGTAAACTATTAACACAATTTTCTTTCATTCAGTACGTACACGTAAATACATATAAATACACAAATACACATTATAAACCCAATAATTCTTCATTCCTAGTTATAAGTTTAGCCAAAAATTTGTAAAATGTATATTGTACATCTATTTAATGCTGTTCTCAACCAATTATAATAAATGAATGAACAAGGTATAGTAATGGAAATAATGTAACAATCTCAAAGATCATATGCACAAGTAAGACGAAAGGTGATAGGTCAAAACTCTAATTCAGTATTAATGCCATAAATTAAGTGTTTGAAAGCACCCTTCAATTTATTTATTTATTGAAAATATCTTTTTAATTAAATTAATAAAACTATAATTTATTAAGTTTTAAAGGTTTGTCATTTGTCATTGAAATAACATTAAATTTAATTAAATACAATGTTATCCTAGTATTTTGTGTTCATATATTGTTAATCATTTCTGCAATTAATGTTATATTTGACGGCACATAGCAGGTGACATTCATTTTCTGTAGAATCCATAGAATTTATGTCATTTCAATGACAAAATGAGGATGTCAGTGATGGTTGAACGTTAATTTAACAAGCTAATTTACTTGATTGGCCAATTTTAGTCAATTCAAAATTTTAATTATGTTACTAGCTAACAAATCATGGCAATAATAATCACTCAATTTACTTTCACTTTACGATGCTTCCGATTAAGTTGAAATTGGTAACTCATGAATAACTCGTAAATGTTGATATTCTCACTCTCAGCAAAGTTTAAACTATTTTAAATAGTAAATATAAATTCAAAAAATTAATATTTGAACATTGTACACATTTACATACCCATCAGGCTGGTGATCTCTTATTGTGTTTATTATCCAGTCAATTTTGTTAGATATTCTAACAAAAGCAAAATAATTAGAGCCCTCTGGTTTATCATCACAATCAGTATAACTAATTTGCACTTTAACTCGAGTAATCACTTTAACATAAACGCCAATTAGCACTGCCCTACCACCAACATATTGGACTAAGCCTATGCCCAGGGATTTCTGTGTTCAACCAACATAAATAAATTTAAATTACATTTAAAATTTTATAATGCCTAGATAAAATTCGTGTTCAATTATACTGATTCACCAAGATAATAAATAATTAAATTACCAAGCACCCTTTCCTTCCAGCAATTGGTGATCGCCCCACAACAACATCTTTCCAAGGTATGTCCCAGAAATCGTTGGCTAGGATTATAGGCTGTCCAACCTGGTTAATTGCGTCATCCTGTTGTGCATTAGATACCTGTCCATAGCCAGTAAAATCGGTGTAATACCTGTTAATAAAATCAATTGATACTGGCAAAATCCGGAATAAGCAGTATTTTTCATTCTAAATTGATCATTTTCATACGCATTTATAAATGTTTAATTTTCGTTGTTATTATTGGTTTTAAAACTTTAGAAATAATACCTAGTTGGTAAGCATACACTATTTATTCCATAATCTAGGTAGAATTTAAAATCGATCGCATGCTTTAATTGAATAAGCAACAAATCGTTTGACCATGGTGATCTCATGTAGTTTGGGTGCATTATAAATGTATGATGCTCGTATTCTAGACCGTAACGTACAATTCCAGGGTATACCGTGATATTAACAACCCGCCCATTAGGACATGTGCGACATTCATAATTACTATTAATATGTAATCTTTATTAATTATTAATTTTAGAATTATTTCAATACATACTACATAATACAATTACCGGTAGTTAAGATCCAATAATTATTTATGATTGTCCCGGAACAGTAACCTCTATAAATTTATCATAATTATAATTCAATCATAATATACTAGATAAATTAATACTATTTAGCTTACACATAATTATCAGTAAATTCAAATTTTATGAAAGCTACCCAGGGCGTTTCGAATTGCTGAAGATCCCATATCGAAATGTTACTGGGTTAGTTTCAAAAAGTGGATAGTTAAATTTATGTTAAATTTATATTGAGACAGTAGCAATCAATGTTAAATATTGTATTTAAACTAAATTATCGTCACCATGTTAATATAAATACTATACCCTTCACCCATAGGAAATGGATACTTTCCGATCCCACAGTCACTGGTAGTTACGCCCGGGTAGTCGACCATTTGAGTGTGTGAAACAATATCGATCGCATTACATTCACGTAAAACTGACAAATAAAAATATTTATTTAATTTAAAACAGCCTATATTTAATTTTAGAAATTATTTTTACTAAATAATAGAAATAATAGACATGAAAATATAGCCATTGTTTAATGTGTATACTGTATATATAATAATTTATTATGATGAATAATATGTTTCAGATATTTAAAAATATTGTAGCATTGAAAATTGAATTCAATGTCAAATTAATTGTGAATATGTTTTTATCAAAATAATACGATTGTGTTACATAACTTGTATATAAACCTACAATAACAAACAGCAATTGCTATTATATATTGATATTTAAAACTGACAATATATTTAACTGCTATAATTTATAAATAATTCTAACATTCATAATGTTTTAGAATAGTTAAATGATAATACCCAAGGTACAAAGTTTACTGGACATTTTTAAACAAGTAATTTATAATTATTAAAAAATAAAATATTGATTCATTTAAAAATATTTTGATAAAAACTTTGTTTTAAAAATAATTAACAGATATTTTTCTAATATCATTATATTTATTTAAATCCAAATAAAAATTTGATTCATTAAGAAATACTACATTAAAATTCAAATAAAAAACATTTACATTATATAAACACTTATAGTAATTAGTTTTAATAAAATTAATTTTTAAAAATATTTTTAATAAATAGAAATATTATTAAGTTTTTTAATAACATGATAAGTGTGTCACTAATAAACACCTGATTAGTAACCGGGACAACACTGGGAGCCTGGAGTAGGCGTTCACCTGTTCGGACGTGAGGTTCGAGATACTGATCCTCTTGAACAGCCCGTCCCCTCATTTAACAAACATTACATTTACATAACTTTTTAATTACAAATTATACAAACTGTATTTATTACTAATTTTCGTTTTTGAACAAAATGTGTTACTCTATGTATGTATACCGAGCACTAAAGAAACCCCTCCCTGTCCACTATTTTATAAAACATTTTTCATTAATAATACAATAAATATTATTCAAAATTATTTTTTACAATTAATAATTTTTAAGGCTTGTGTTTTACCGCAGTTATCATTATAATGAGATGTCAACGTTATCATGTGATCATGGTCAGGTGTCGTGAGGTAAAGTGTTTATGAGTATAGTTTGGTTGAGGTTATGATAATTAAAACTAAGTTTTGGTATTTTTGTGTTTTATTAATATAAATTGCTATGTTTATATTGGATGACATAGCTTACATCACAAACATTTTATTTATTGAGACTTAATTTTAATTAATATAAAAACTGTCACTATGACAAAATATGATTTTATTAATTAATAAATTAGTTAACTCTATATTGGATTCCAAACTATTAATTAAAATTATTAGTATCACCAGTTCCCCTACCTGTCCATTTTGTTTAACAGTTTTGTGAAAAATATCTTTCGATTAAATTTAGGTAAAACTGTAATTATTAATAATTTTTAAAGTTTCAACAATTCATAAAAATAGTTTAGTGTATAATGGGAAGTATGATGCCTTTCCGTTATCATGACCACCTGTCCACTCATCTGTGATAACATTTAATTAATAGAAAATTTTAATTATAATAATAACTGTTATATACTGTAAGTAGTTTATATGGTTTTTAGCCGTTAATAAAAATAGTTCATTATACAATGGATTAGAACAGTGATCAGGTCCTGTTCCCTACCTGTCCCTTATTTGAATAAACATTTTATTTATTGAAAGTAACTTTTTAATTAAATTTATAAAACAGTAATAATTATTAATTTTTTCGATTCTATAAATCATTAGAAATAAGTTAATTTAAACTTAAATATAAAAACTAACTTGTTAAAAGTTTAATATTTAAATTATAACTGTAATTATTACTAGTTTTAAGCAATTAATGAATAAATTATGCTAAAAATTATTTTCGTTTGCAATTAACTATTATCCTATGGTAACCACAATTTACCCCGA